TTTGCTTTTAATTGATATTTATTAAGTTCATTTTCGACATTTGGCCATAACTGTATGTGAAAACCAGATCCTGTCAGAAGCTATGCAGGGCAGGCCTGGTTAGTACTGTGATGGGAGACCTCCAGGAAGACCAAGTGCCAAACTGTGGTTGTGTCCTTAGGCAAGACACTTCACCCACATTAGAATGAGTCTGATGTGTGTGTGTGAATGGTTGGTGGTGGTGGGGCTGATGGCTTAGACTGGTTGCCTCACTTCTGTCAGTGTGCCCCAGGGCAGCTGTGGCTCACCGTGTATGGTGCGAAAGATCAATGACATGTGAAGCTTATTTGAGTGTCCAAAAAGTGCTGTATAAAACCAATGCATTATTATTATTGTTTACATCCAACTACTGTCTGACATTTACCCATGTTTAGGATGAGGGTTAGGGTTACGGTACATTAATTACTACTTAATTAGCTGTTCATTTGTGAAGGCTAATCTAACTGTTTTGTGTCTCTTTCCATTAAACAGAAATATCCACTTTTCCAGTCAGTCAAAAGTTCAGGTCTTAGCCCAGAAACCTGACCTCACACTTGATAATTAGGCTGAGGGCTCGTGCAGCAGACACCCGTCCAAAGCAAACTTTGACAATTCTCTTTGGCTAAAAATAACTTCTTGCATAGAATTTCTTCCCCTTTCAGACTCGATGCGGCCGGAAAAAGCGAATCCAACCTCCGTCGTCTGAGGCTGTCAAACACGTCGCGAGAGACACTTCTAATTGGTGAAATGTTTGGCTAAAGCCCCGTGAGTGCCGCCGGGGCGCGTACCTGCGGTGACAATTTGGTATTTGTTGTGAAAATGTCACGAGTTAACAAGACAGGGGAGACTTAACCAGTGAGTTAGCAAACAACAGAGAAATGTCCACGCAGGGCTGGCTTTCTGTGACGGCGCAAAACTTTACCGTTGGTTTTGGCTGAAAAAGGGCGATGGGACTGGGACATGACACTCGTAACAGTGACTTTCTTTGCACTTTAAAATAATATGAAGAAAATATAATGAAAAAACTTGGACATATTTTTGATTTTCAATATGTCTGAGCAATTAAAAAACAGATCTCGTCCTTCACTGAGAGCCTTTACTGGTCAGTCCTGTAAAAGTGTGGTGCAAGTTTTGGTCCCATGATGCCATTCGAGTCGACTTTTTGAACAATACATAATACATATACAGTATTTGTTTAGTTTTTGGCGCCAGATTAAATTAGATTAGATACAACATAATTGTCATTTTAAAATTCAGTCACACTAAATGCAGTTTAGCATGTAGCCATAGCTCAAGTATTGATAACGTGCAGAACATAGACACATATACACAGTGTATGCACATATGTGAGATACAGCTTACATTACATTATGATAGATTTACACTAGTCCCAGAGCAGTCAATTTGACGGCTTTTTGTTTTGTAAGTGTAATTACTTCTTTAAGTCGTTTATTTCTATGTCCTTATGTTTATGAAATGATCTTGAACCTAGACTGGTTCAGAGAAATCTCAGCTTGGAAATAGTACTAGATACACTGTTTACTTGTATCACTTAGCATTTAGTTTTGTTGTATTTCAGTTATAATCACCAGTTTAAGCATGTATTAAAGAGAAAAAAAAACATTAATTACTTTAATACCGCATTACTTTACCCTAACGCTATAACCGGTTTGGGGATTTTTTTCAGAAGTCCGTTAATTTGAATGGGAGCCATCAAAATGACAAATTGTAGTTCTCGTTTTAGTCTCAAAATCCTGGGAGTCCTAGTGTTAGATATGTTGCTGATAAAGGCATGAAACTAAGTCAAACTGAGGGAATAGCTTCATACCGCGGTAGAAAGCTCAAAAAGAATATTTTCCACATGTGCTTGAACCTCTCCCCGGCTCTGCTCCTGCTGGTCTGCACGGAGCTGGAGCAGGTCGTATAACAGCCCAGAGACAGGCTTTGGCCACAGAAGATGAAGATGGACAGTGAGCGATGTCCCCGGTGTGACTGGAAGAGTATTGACAGGAGACGGGAGAGGTCAGCGAGGCGGACATGGCTGATGGAACCATTACATGTCATAACAAGGACAAGACGAACCGTGGGCCAGGGACACAGCACGCCGCATCCAACCCATCGCCATCATTTACAATTACAGTCATCCTGGGAGTGCTGTAGTTGGAGATTTTTTAAAATGAGGGTTTACTTTTATGGAGTCGGAGCAATTGGGTTGTTGTGAGGAAAAGGCACGTCTATGCTAATCGAATCTCGCTAAGTGTGTTTGAGGCTAAAAGAGCAGTTTGTCTTAAAGCAGGCAGTAAAAAAGCAGAGGTTTACTTCACTGGGCGGTGATTTAGCTTTAGATTTTTTATTTAGTTTGTATACAGCATCAGAAGGACTATGCTAACGATGCTAACAAGGCTAACGATGCACAGGCTAATTGAATGGATGGATTGAGATGAATGGAACAACTTGTTTGACTTTTATTTTTAAGAATATAACTTACAATATAACATATATTATTGTGTGGCTATACTTGCATGTGAAAGCACATCTGATCTCTGAAGCTGTTCAGGTCAGTGCTGTGATGGGAGACCTCTGGGAACACTGAGTGCCAGAGGGGCGGCTGTAAAGTGCCAAACTGAGGTAGTGTGCTTAGGCAAGACACTTCACCTGCATTAAAATGCTTCTGAAGTGTGTGTTTGCGCATGTGAATGGTTGGTGGTTAGAGGGGCTGATGGCACAGACTGATTGCCTGTCACTGTGCCTCATGTCAGCTGTGGCTACTGTAGCAGTTAATCACCACCTAGTTTGAAAATAATGGCATGTGAAGTGTCTTTGAGTGTCCTGAAAAGCACTGTATGAAACCATTGCATTGTTATTTTCATTATTATTATTATTATTATTAAAGAGTAATAATAATAATAATACATTTTATTTATAATGCACTTTACATTTGACACCAAATCTCAAAGTGCTACAAACAGCAGCATAAATAAAAGCAAACACATAAAATCAGATAAAAGACTATAAAAAAATTAGCAGTACGCTTTAGTAAAAAGATGGCTTTTGAGTCCCTTTTTAAAAGCTTCCACCGTCTGTGGGGCCCTGAGGTGGTCCGGGAGGGCGTCCCACAGACGGGGAGCAGCGGCCTCGAAGGCCCGGTCCCCCATTTTCTTGAGCCGTGTCCTGGGCGGGAGCAGACGGTGCTGTTGGCCTGACCGGGTTCTGCCTGAGGAGTGTGGAGTGAGGTAGTGGGTCAGTCAGTGAGGTAGGTGGGGGCATCACCGTGGAGACAGTGGTGGGTGTGCAGGAGGATCTTGTACTCTATACGGAGGTGAACGTGGGAGTGGAGGGTGCGAAGGATGGGGGTGATGTGCTCATGCTTCCGCACCCTCATCAGGACCCTGGCCGCGCTGCTTTGGACGTACTGGAGCTTTTGAATGCTCCGGCCAGGGATCCCGATGAGGAGTGCGTTGCAGTAATACAACAATTTTACTTGTATTAAAACACTATTTGTATGTAAGTGCTCAAAGGCAGAGTGAGCAGCTTGCCTGACATATCAGAGCTCACGTACGGCAGGTCCACATCTGCATCATTAACCAACCCACAAACATCTGAGGGAGGTCACAGTTTAATAATCTATAGTCCATTAAGTGTAGAGACTGCTTATTATTATTATTATTATTATTATTATTATTATTATTATTATTATTATTATTATTATCATTATTATTATTAAGGACACAATACATTACGGTCCATAGTTAAAAGAAAATATCCAATGCACACAGAATATTGCACATTGAAAAATAAATATGTACAGGAAAACAAAAAAGAGAACATTACAGCCGCTGAACAGTGTAAAGGCCTGCAGTAAGTCCGTCATTTGGAGGTGAACTCCAAATGACGGACTGATCAGAGTCTCTGAGGCGACACATGAATCTGAACTGAACATTACCAAGAGATGCAGAACAGGAGCGGACGCCACGTTAAGCAGACATCTCACTCGCACTGCTGTGCCGAGGAACCTTCAGCAGCAGCCTCAAGGAGTTGTTATGAATTTGAAATAATGTCTTTAGTAGAAAATACAAGGCGCAACATGTAAAAAATGTTTTCGGTGTGTAACTCACTAAGCGCACTCCAGGACGTACGCAACGGGAGAAAACAGCTCACAAGAAGGAAAAACACCGATATCTACCTTTTGCAAGAGGCGTTCAGCGAGTCATAAACTTAAATCTGCGCACTCAGCCGAGCCACTGGTCTCTAATCAAGATCCACAAGGTGTACCGTGTTTATCTAAATCACCAACACGACTGCGCAATCACAGACCAAGAGGAAGAAGAAGAAGAAGAAGAAGAAGAATCAGGGGGAGCAGGAAAAGTGGAGGGGAAAGAAAATCAAGAAATACAGTAATGACACGGCGGCTGAGCGGGTTGAAAGCAGCGATGATTCAAGGGTCTTTGTGGTGAGGAAAACACTTATTGGACGTTAGTCACAGTCGCTGAGTCAAACAGCCGACAATTATTTACACCTGGACAAACGGGAGGGGGAATAAATGGATTTCCTGTTCCCAAAGTGCGACGATATTGACAGGACATTTGAAAAAAAGAACGAGACGAGCATCAATAAACGTGTTATAATTGCATTCTATTGTTGTGGTGTGGTCCTGGATGGAGAGTAATCGGATACTTTAACCATATTTTCTTTTTTTTTTTGCTAAAGTTTTTCATACCATAGCAATCCACATTGGATATCTGATTGCATTGACATCTGAATTGTAAGGTGCACTAAATAAAATGTACTATTTTTATTATCATTTATAAAAACTTGACCACTCTCTGCTCTTGTTATCCCTGAGGTTCAAAAATTTGGTTAACAGCATGTCGTTGTCTCGTCCACTTAAAACCTATACTAACGTCGTAAATCGCGGCTGATAAAACACAGACAGAGAGTGTGTGTGTGTGTGTGTGTGTGTGTGTGTGTCCTCCCAGAACGGCATGAGTGATGGCACAGTGCGGGTAAACAACTGCTGCTGCTTCACTCCAGCGGCCGTGACCAAGGCCAGAGGCAGAGCGCACCGGACACAAGGACGGCGGCCTCATCAGGACACTACTACCAGCGTGTGTGTGTGTCTGTATGTGTGTTTGATTGTGTCTGCAAATGTGTGTGTGTGTTTTATTGCGTGTGTTTTTCTCTATGCGTGTGCGTTTGCCCGTGTGTTTGAGTGTGTGTGCATACAGGTATGTGTGTGCGTGTTTGATTGTGTGTGTGCATGTAAGTGAGTGTGTGAGAGTGTGTGTTTTTTTCTATGCGTGTGCGTTTGCCTGTGTTTGAGTGTGTGTGCGTATGTGGATATGCGTGTGTGAGTGTGTGTGTGTGTTTGCCTGTGTGTGTATGTGTGCTGCAAGCAAACTCACTCTGGAACAGTCTCTCAGAATGAGGACTGCATTTTTAAGGCGGACTTGTAAAAGTGACCTTCCTCAGCCTCATGATCATTTAAAGCACTTGTTTGTGTCATATTCTCGTTCATCGTGCTCCCCACACTCCCGCGATCTGCCACCGAGACACGACAATTTTTAGACCTACATTTGAACGGGGATCAATTTAAAGACCTAGTGACCGCAAAGGGGAAAAAAAAATATGATAAGAGTAAACAAGACGTGTTCATGGTTTGAAAAGGCATTGGTCGAAGCAAAAAAGCGTATTTAAAGGTTTAGTGGAGGATTTTCCTAAATTTTAGGAAAGAGCCTCCATCTCCACACTTTGAACAAAACTCTCTGGTCTTATTTGTCGGAATGATTGACAGTTAGGAGGACCAATAATCTTGATGATCCACCCGGAAGTAGAAAATCCCGTACATACCTTTAAATTAGCCTGGCCCTAGTTGTGGGTGACGTCAAGAGTTTGTGTCAAACGGGCAGGTTGTAGTTTGGCAATGGAAATGCGATAGAAAAGTAATCCGGTCTGGTTCTATCAAGAAACTGAAGCCAGAGCAAGGAGAATGTTTAGCAAATGTAATCACTGGAAAAGATTGTGGCGCTACTCCCCACGGACTTCGTTAGCGGCAAAGGAGATGGCTAGGCTAAATGCTAAATGCTAACGACTGTCTCAGTCTCATTACATACGTCACGTTAAACTCCAATCGTTTTAATCTGCAAAAGGAGTTAACTCCTCCCACCTGTTAATGGAGCTCAATGAAGCGCCTCCGGACCTTAGTACGAAATGTAATTTGTACTATGGTGTGGTACTCCTACAATTCAAACTACATAGATAGATAGAGATACAGTAGATAGATACATAGAAAGATAGATACTTTATTAATCCCCGACAGAGATATTCAGGTGTCCAAGTAGCAGCAAAAATAGAAAATAAAATTGATGATTCTAAAAAGCTAACAATTGTATAATCAGCAACAGCCCTTCAGGTCACAGCAGCAGAGGAGGAGAAGCGTTCGATCTAACTAATACATATTCTACATACTCATACTACTACAAGTATCATTCTGCAGGATTCATTATTGATGTTATTTATTCCAGACTTAGATGTCAGACTTGTCCAGGTCTAAATATGAGGATTTGTCATTTTTAAATTCGGAGACAGGAGGGATTCTCTGGGTTTGGGTCATTGGCTGCCACTGAACTGAGACTGGGGCCGCACACTCAGAGTCCGAGACCTCTGCTGGTTTCTGCAGACAGATGGAGGACAATGGCCGGGCCCCGCTGCCGTTCGCTGCCATAAAAAACTTAATCGCTTTAAAGTTCCCGTAAAGTTCGGCAGCAAAAGGGTTATCGAGGCGTTATGCAAAAGTGCAGCGTAATTGAAAGCTCTAAGGTATAATGTGAAGGCGACGATGATGAAGACTGACTTTTAACGACCAACAAAGGCCTTCGACCCACACGTCCTCGCCGTGTACTCTGGGAACTTTAAACTTCTCTGAAAGGGGCTTTTTAAAGGGACGGTGTGGGATCACGACCTTCCTGCAGAACAAAGGAAGCAGAAAGTGAGAGGACGTCGAGATATGTTTATTTTTTCACCCACAGCTCATGAAGAAAAAATGTTTTTAAACCTTATTTTAGGGCGTCCAGATGGAAAGACACAGGGAGAAGGCAACCAGCGAGGCAACCAGTCCATGCCATCGGCCCCTCCTTCCACCACCAATCATTCACACACACAGACTCAGTGAGGCGACAGTGGCTCAATTGGCCTTTGGGCTTGGGGATTGTGGGTTCAAGCCCAACAACGAGACCTACTTCACGACTCCCACGGATGTCTGCTGTCGTTGTGTCTTTGGGGAAGACACTGAACCCCACTTTGCCTGAAGCAGCTCAGACTAGAACAGCCGTCCTCCTGTGGACTCACCACCACCAGTTTTTCTGTGTACTGGTTGCAGGTTTGACTGCCACCAACCCGGAGATGGATTAAGGGGAAGAAGATGGACAACAGACTCATTCAAATGTGGGTGAAGTGTCTTGCCTAAGGACACAATCACAGTTAGGCACTTTACAGCCGCCCCACCTGGTGTTCCCAGAGGTCTCCCATCACAGTGCTGACCAGGTCCTTGCCCAGCTTCGGAGGTCTGATAGGATCTGACCATTTGGCTCCTAAGGCTCGGTATTTACCTGGAGCATTCCTCGTCCTCCACTTCTGTTGTGATTTAGGCCCAGACACAAACACATTGAGCTGAATGTGAAAACTAGTGATAGAATCAGACTGTTTTGAGATCCAGTAGATAGTGACATTTTGTGTATGGTTGAATTTCACAGACCACTTTAAGTTTGGTGTAATAGCCACTCACTCCACACACAGAACCAGGATAAACATTGTTATTTGAAGAATATCGCAATCTCGTCGTACTGATGGCTGATTCAAATACAGAAATCTTGCAGAGGTAATTGTTGCTTTGACTGCTTTGTTCCCAGCTCTTGTTGTCCCTGCTGTATTTTTATATACTTGCCTCGTGTTGTCTTAATGTACTCCACACTCCCTCTCTCTCTCTCTCTCTCTCTCTCTCTCCCTCTCTCTCTATCTCTCTCTCCCTCTCTCTCTATCTCTATCTCTCTCTCTCCCCAAAAGCTCAGTGCATTTTTCTTCTGAGACATAAATAACACTAAGCTGACGGAGGCTGTGCTACACCGGGCGGCTCCTCAGAACAGATGCTACCTTAGAGGAACATTTCAAAATAAGCAGGTTTTGAGAATGTAAAAGCAGATGACAGTTTTTCCACCTGTCACTTGTACACACTGTGCATTAGAGACATTGGTGACTATTGTGCGGGAAAAGCGCAAATTACCCTAAGAGTATAGGGTCAGGATAATAACTGGTATTAATGTAAACTGTGATATTATGATGGTAGAGGATCGCTACCATAAAAGAGAGGGACAGTATTGACAGTGCTCCTTCATGTTTATGGATGTATTGGAGTAGTCTATACTTTCTACTCACACGGAGAGAGCCTTCAAACTTGATAGTTTAAAATCTATCATTACTAAAAAGTGAACATAGCACACAAGAAACCAGCAAGGGCTCAACTGGTCAATGTAACAGCAGGTTTCAGCCATAGAAATGCGTTGACATACTTGCAATACCACCCCGGGCCTGTGGGGGAAACCAGAGAGAGAATTATCCAATGCTTTTGGAAGGCGTCTTCTTTCCTCTCGTCTTCATAGGATGGTCCAAAAGTGGCTCTTGTACCTCTCTTGTTTAACCGCCATTGACTTCAGAAGGCATATAAGTTTCAACGGCAGACATGGACAAAGTTAAATATCCAATGGGCTGGCAAATCATTGTTTCCTCGATGGTTTTACAAAAAATAATTCTGCAGAACTGGTAAAGCAGAAACGTTCCAGGATTAGATAAATGGAAGTCCTTATTGAGATATAATTTAAGCCTCAAAAGAACCCTATCAGCGGAGAAGAAAAAAAAAAAAAGAAAAAAATACTATGTGGGGAACTATTTATGAAGCACTCCGGGTCGCCTGGGAGTGCTTCAGTCCTGCACCGGACCTGTTCACGTTCAACGGCCGCTGGTCCACATTCTGTAGCTTAGGTCCTGGATCTACAGCCGGTCCGTCCGTGGGAGTGGATCCCTTTCTCAAACTGTGGGTCTCCCCGAGGTTTCTCACTTTTTTCTCACTGGGTTTTTATGAGTTTTTCCTTACTGATGCAGGAGGGTCTGCTGGACAGTTAGCGTCCAACTAGAAGGACTGTGGTGATGATCCAGGACACTTTAACATTCTACAACATGTATGGACATTTTTTGTAATGTGTTCTATATTCTTTCTGTGTGTGTCTGTGATCTGTGGTCTGTGGTCTCACTCTGAAACTGGATCATCGGTAATAAAAATGGATCCATGTGAAACAGAGACCAGAAGACGAAAGACCGTTTGTAGCTCTGTGAAAACAGCTGCCTTCTGCTGTCTTCTCCATGGACCTTTAACCATAGTAAAAAGAAAAAAAGAACTTCGGCCTAATTTGTGTGTGCTTTTGTCGAGATGACCTGCAGTAGAACTATATTTATTAACAGTGCTCTTTGGAAATGACCTAATATCATCTGATTGGTCAAAATATGGGTAAAGAAAGTGCTCTGAAGTCCATTCTCTTGTTTGATTTTCTGTTAAACAAAGCTGACAGATTTGTATGTTTAAATGTGTTACATTTCTCTCCATCCCGGGCAGTGGAATGTTGATTACTAAAAAATGTGCTCTATATTTACTGTAGATAAAGTGGATTGGTTACTGAGAAGAACTGGTGCAAACGTCCTCTACAGGCCCTCAGACCCTCAGACTCTCAGAACCTCAAACCATCAGACTCTCAGACCGTCAGACCCTCAGACTCTCAGACCATCAGACCCTCCAACCCTCACACCCTCAGACTCTCAGACCGTCAGACCCTCGGACTCTCAGACCCTCTGACCCTCCAACTGTCAGACCCTCGGACCGTCAGACCATCAGACCCTCCAACTGTCAGACCCTCCAACCGTCAGACCCTCAAACCCTCAGACCCTCAGACCCTCGGACTCTCAGACCCTCTGACCCTCCATCCGTCAGACTCTCAGACCGTCAGACCCTCAGACCCTCAGACCGTCAGACCCTCAAACCCTCAAACCCTCAGACCCTCAGACCCTCAGACTCTCAGACCCTCAGACTCTCAGACCGTCAGACCCTCAAACCCTCAGACCCTCCAACCATCAGACCCTCCAACTGTCAGACCCTCCAACCGTCAGACCCTCAAACCCTCAGACCCTCAGACCCTCGGACTCTCAGACCCTCTGACCCTCCATCCGTCAGACTCTCAGACCGTCAGACCCTCAGACCCTCAGACTCTCAGAACCTCCAACCATCAGACTCTCAGACCGTCAGACCCTCAAACCATCAGACTCTCCAACTGTCAGACCCTCAGACCGTCAGACCCTCAAACCCTCAAACCCTCAGACCCTCAGACTCTCAGACCCTCAGACTCTCAGACCGTCAGACCCTCAAACCCTCAGACCCTCCAACCATCAGACTCTCAGACTGTCAGACCCTCAAACCCTCAGACCCTCCAACCATCAGACTCTCAGACTGTCAGACCCTCAGACTCTCAGACCCTCCGACCCTCAGACCGTCAGACCCTCAAACCATCAGACCCTCCAACCATCAGACCCTCAGACCATCAGACTCTCAGACCGTCAGACCCTCAGACCATCAGACCCTCCAACTGTCAGACCCTCAAACCCTCAGACCCTCCAACCAGTCAGACTCTCAGACTCTCAGACCCTCAGACTCTCAGACCCTCCGATCCTCCAACCGTCCGACTCACAGACTGTCAGACCCTCAGACTCTGTCCTTGGAGCAGGTGGTCGAGGACTGACTTTATCACCTCTCCTCAAACACTGCAGTTAATGGTCGTCTGCAAAGCCCGTTCTCAAGTTCGGACATGACTGTTTCGGAATCCGAGAGAATGAATTGTGACAGTTGTTCAGACTCAGGACATGAGCAGGGGATCAGTATCAGATTGGTATCTACTATGTTGTTTTGATTTTTATAAAACTCATGGATCAGTTGGCTTCATTTTAATTTATTACTATTAATAACTTTTAGAATTATGTAATTTTCTAATGTGGGTGAGGTGTCTTGCCTAAGGACACAGCCACAGTTTGGCACTGTACAGCCGCCCCACTGTGGCACCTGCTGCTCCCGGAGGTCTCCCAACACACACAGATTCTGATTCTAGACCAAAAAACAAAAACATTATTTATTTTTTTACTTTGTACCTCAGGACGACCTTGAGTGCCCAGACAGACGCCATGAGAATAGAATATTATTATCATTATTATTATTACTAGCTATAGTCAGATTCCCTCTGGTTCCCTCTCCCTCCCCTTCTCCTCTCGCTCATCTTCTTCTCTCCCTCCTCTCTTCCTCTTCTCTCCCTCCTCTTCTCTTCTCCCTCCTCTTCTCCTCTTTTCCTCTCCCTCCTCTTCTTCTCTCCCTCCTCCTCCCTCATCCTCTCCCTCCTCTTCTCTTCTCCCTCCTCTTCTCCTCTCTTCCTCTCCCTCCTATTCTCCTCTTCTTCTCTCCCTCCTCTCTCCCTCACCCTCCTCTTCTTCTCTCCCTCCTTTCTTCCTCTCCCTCCTCTTCTCATCTTCTTCTCTCCCTCCTCCTCCCTCATCCTCTCCCTCCTCTTCTCCTCTCTTCCTCTCCCTCCTATTCTCCTCTTCTTCTCTCCCTCCTCTCTTCCTCTCCCTCCTCTTCTTCTCTCCCTCTTCCTCCCTCATCCTCTCCCTCCTCTTCTCTTCTCCTCTCTTCCTCTCCCTCCTCTTCTCCTCTTCTTCTCTCCCTCCTCTTCTCTCTCTCTTCCTCTCCCTCCTCTTCTCTCTCCCTCCTCCTCCCTCATCCTCTCCCTCCTCTTCTCTTCTCCCTCCTCTTCTCCTCTCTTCCTCTCCCTCCTCTTCTTCTCTCCCTCCTATCTTCCTCTCCCTCCTCTTCTTCTCTCCCTCCTCCTCTCTCATCCTCTCCCTCCTCTTCTCTTCTCCCTCCGCTTCTCCTCTCCCTCCTCTTCTCCTCTCCCTCCTCTTCTCCTCTCTCTCTTCTTCTCTGCTCCTGGACAGATCCGACAGATGCCTCCACACCTCCAAATGCCTGCATTTTTCTCACCGAGACTTTACCTTCGTGCGCACTATAAAACCTGGGATTTAGCGTCTGTCAGGCTGTTTAAGCAGAAGGCACAAGACAAACAGCGCCACGCCGCCATGTTCCGCCGAGGCCTTGCATAACAATGACATAAATACACATCATGTCTGCGCCCCGGCTTCTCCGCTGACTCCTCCATATTTCATACTTGACCTCTCTCCTTCTCTCTCCATTTATCCACCGCTCTCTTTGCTCTCCACTCACTGCTCCACAAGCGCCTTTTGTCATAGTGTTGTTGAGACTTACTATGTGTGTTGCTCTACAACTTTATATCTACCCTACTCTACTCTACTCTACTCTACTCTACTCTACTCTACTGTGCTCTATATACCCTACTCTACTCTACTCTACTATAATCTACTCTACTCTACTGTGCTCTATATCTAGTCTACTCTGCTCTATATCTACTTTACTCTATATCTACCCTATTCTACTCTACTCTACTCTACTCTACTCTACTGTGCTCTATATCTACTCTACTCTATATCTACCCTACTCTACTCTACTTGTCAATGGAGTATGTTATTGTGTTATTATCATATTAATAAATGTAACGTTTAGACTAGTGTGGATCTAAAAACTAGTAGTATTGATCCAGGCAGGAGTGCAAGAATGTGCGGAGTCAAACCCCCAGCTATTATACACAGGAAGTTAAATTAAGAGGAGTGCAGAAAACATCTGTTATAGCCTCAGGCTTACTTTGAGAGGGGCTACTGTGTGTTTTGGAGAAAGGAGCTATTGTGTTCACCTAAGGATGGTGAGACATGTGTTTTCAATTATCATGTCATGTGACTGTGTGCTTATCATCGATAGCCTGTCTTGAAGCAGTGTCTTTTTGCTTTGGGTGTGCGAGGGAGAGCAGGGCCCAGATTGGAGAACCAGTCTGCCACTTGTCTGTATCTTATATTCTGTCTTTTATATATTAAACCTTTTCATATATCTAAGCAGAATTTGTGGTCCATTTTTCATCGAAGGAGAAACCGTGGCTGAACCAGCGTTAACATATTTTGGTCCTTCTTGAGCCGGATGTCAAAACATCATTTTTTTGGAGCTGACCGTCGTCCTACTGAAGAGCTGAAACAGCAGCGTGGCTTGGAGGTTGCAGGTCGAAAAACAACTGCAGCAACAGTCTCTCTGTGTGGGGTTTTGATCAGCTTCGAATTTCGGATTGAAGACACAAAAGCCACGGACATCGCGATAACAGGCAAGTGTGAATTTACTTTTGAAGTCAATTTACTTTTGACTCAAAAAAGAGGCCGGGGATAACGAGGTTTATCCTTTTTAATAGTCGAGGAGCTATTTCTTAGGCCTGGGATAACGAGGTTTATTCTTCTAATAGTCAGAGAGCTATTAAAGACAGTCAGAGGGGGAGCCCGGAATAACAACAGGTTATTCTTTTAGATAGTCTGGAACTATCATAGACTGTAATAATAACGGGGTTATTATTTAGAGTAAGTCGGGGACTACTTTTTACTGCAGTTAAAAGTGAACGGAGTTCATTTTGAATTAAAGACGTCTGTGTGAATGTGTGTGTGAAAGGAGATAAATCTATACTCGAAGCATCGGACAACCAGAAACCTTGCGGTGATAACAAAAAGTTGTCGGCTGGGTGAAGTAGAGTTGGATTGCATCTCATTATGTTTTAAGTAATCGTGAAAGTGGTCTAAAACAATTACATTCCTTGTGATTAAACACCCAGGAGAAACCGGATGAAACATTAAGTTTTGTCTAGAAGCTTGTTTCTCGAGGAAGTGATTTGGCCCGTGAGGCATTCCACTAAGATCGTTTACAAATGTGTAATTAATATCCACTGTTGTATAAGCAATAGTTATTAAATAGAAGTTGAAGAAGATATCTAAATAATTTACTAAAGAGTAAATATGGGTTCATCTTGTACTAAAACTGTGGATCTGAAAGGAGATCCTAAGTTTATGCAGAGAAAAAATCCTGAATCAGTTAAGTATTTAAAAAACTGGAAGAAGAAGTATGGGTTTGAAGGTAAACTAACACTAAAAGAGTGTGAAACACTGGTGATGAAAGTTAGTTTAGGACTTAAATCCAAAAAGTTGCCATCAGAAAAACAATTGCATGAGCAGAAAATGGCGGAGCTGTGGTTAGTTGCAGGAATAAGCAAATTAAAGAGAAGAAGAGTGAAACCAGCCTAGTTGCCTTTACAACAGAAGAAGACAATTTGGTCCAGGCAGGGAGGCGCCATGTGCAGCAGCACCAGCAGCAGCAGCAGCAGCAGCACCAGCAGCAGCAGCAGCAGCAGCAGCAGCAGCAACAGCAGCAGCAGCAGCAGGCTGTAGTACAGGCTCATAAATACACAGCGGCACCACCTCAATATACTCCACTGCAACAGACAACAAATCTATTCTCAGATAATTCTGTAAAACTGCAGGATAGTTTGTATCCACATGCAGAGCTTGAAGCAGCAGCGCAGTCACAAGTCTGTGACGTACAAACACCTGTTGCTACTAGATCACGGCTTCCAATGAACGCGTCTTGGAGCAAAAGTTTTGGAAACCTTTTCAGTCCAAGGGTTGACTTCTCAGAGAGAGGAGCAGATGCATTCCCAATGATAGAAGTCCCAAATCCCACTCATGATCCACAAGTGGTTGGAAGTTTGCCTACTATGTATGTCTTTCGTACTTGGACGAAAGCAGACATAATTAAAGCCACAGAAAGTGTCCCAAGCCATAGAGAAGACCCAGATGGATTTTGCGATGGTATGAGACAACTGGTGGACATGTATAGGCTTAACGGAATTGAAATTAGGGACATTTACATGACGAAAATGGGAGTTGATTGGACAAGAGTAAGACAACATTATAACCCAAATGATAATGCAAACCCACCTGTGCTTCTTCCTGCAGCAGACCCACTCATTAACGATAGATTAAATACTCTACATACTCAAATCAGAGAAATGTTCAAAACTTTACCTGACTATGGGAAGTTAGCTCAGGTAAGACAAATGGAGGATGAGACAGTAGTAGATTTTAGAGTGCGGTTTGAAATAGCCTTTAGAAAACACAGTGGGTTGAGAGACAATAATGCAGCGGAACGTGTAATTTGGGATCAACAGTTTAAACAAGGGATGTTGGCTAATTTAAGACCAGAAGTCTCTGAATGGATAAAGAGAAATTTTGTTGGATTGCCTACTGCGACGCTGCCTGATTTTATAACACATGCTATTCATGCTGAAGTGGTTGCTAGAAATAAAAAGAGAAATAAAGAGAGAGAAGAGCAAGCCAGATCAGTGGATTCTTTCTTGCAAGATTTGGGAGATGTGTGTTTCCAGAAAGCACAGGGCCAATCAGCAAGGAGGGAGCAGAATGGAGGCAGAGGTCAAAGCAGAGGGAGGGGGCAGATGAAGACTAGGAGAGAGAGAAAGTTGGACAAAAGCAATGATTATTGTTACATTTGCAAAAAGAAAGGACATTGGGCGAGAGAATGTGAAGCATGGACCAGAGAATGTGAATCAAGTTCAGATGGGGAAAAGAGAGAAGAATATGTAGAAAAAAAAGGGAGAAATCAAAAACATCACAATGCATGACTAGGGAGTAATAACAAAACTAAAGTTCTGACAAAAAGTAATGATGAAACAGTGAAAATTCCAAATTTAAAAATGACTTCCATAATTGAAAATGAAAATGGATATGATTCTGATTTGGCAAAGCAATGTGATGAGGTTATAGATTTCACTCAATTAGATATTTTTCATGTGTCTAAACCAGAAATAACACTTTACATTGAAGAAAGGCCCTATGTGTTCCTTTGTGATTCTGGAGCGGATAAAACAGTGATTAGGGATGTGAGCAATATACCCATTTCAAAAAACTCAATCACAGTGAGATCAGCTAATGGGTTAGTGCAAAAACAAAATTTGAGTCAGTTGATTACAATAACAAATCCAGAAACATGTGATGAAGCCATGTTGAGGGTGGTTCTGTCACCGCTGTGCCCATACAATCTACTCGGACGTGATGCAATGGTTGCATTAAAAATGGGAATATTTCCAAACAAAAATGGAAATATGGAAGCTAGGCGCTGTAGCAACACTGATATCCATGTCCTAGAAGCGGAGGGATCAGTATTGTATTGTTGGACTTTGGATATGCCGACAAGTGACCCTGGAGAATCAGGGAAAGAAATTGTAAAAAGGGCAAAACAGGCATTAAATCCAAGTGCCATTGTCAAACAACATGATGAGTTACATGTCACTCTGAGATTTAAAACAACTCCAGGAGGTGATCCAGTTTACGATAAGCTTGTAAAAAAATTGGGTCCGCAGAGAGTTCAAATTAGAGACATTTACTGGAGAGACAAAACAAGTTTCTGCACTGTAGGAGTGGCAGATGCAGTAAAACAACTCATGGGAGATTTGCACATTCCACATATCTCTATATCCAAAGACCCAGAGGCAGAGTGGAGTGATAACAATGCCTTTGTTGGTCAAGTGGAATCAATTAGAGATTGGGAGCAAGATAAAAAAGTAGGAGTATACTGGAGTAAAACAACTGGCTGGAGAAAACAAAAGATAAACTGGACAGTAGTATGTACGCCAGCTGTACATCTGACTGACCAGGAGCTTGCATGACTAATGACTCTAACACAGGAAGAGGAGGAGGAGCTTGAGCAAGTTCCAGATGAGGTGTGGTCAAAGGGACCCACAGATGTTGGGTTAATGAAGGGAATGTTACCAGTGGAGATCAGAGCAAAAACTGAGTACAGGCCCAGGATAAAACAATATCCTTTAAAACCTGATGCAGTAGAAGGAATAAAACCTGTAATACAGGATTTAATTAAAAAAGGAATAATTCAAAAATGCTCAGATTCCCCTTGTAACACACCAATATTCCCAGTTAAAAAAGCTCCTCCATCCGTAGCTTGGAGAATGGTTCAAGATCTGCGAGCTGTGAATGAAGCAGTTATTCAAAGAGCACCTAATGTACCAGATCCACATACACTGCTTAATCAATTATGACCAGAGGCTAAAATCTTCTCTGTGATTGATCTCAGCAATGCATTTTGGTCCATTCCAGTGCATAAAGACAGTCAATTTTGGTTTGCATTTACC